AGAGCACCAGCCAATGCTACTTTTATGCCAACATGCTTTCCATTTCTGAGGTAAATCAGAAAAGGGTGCTAGAAAAGTCCATGTCCAGGCAAAGGTCTACTCCCTTCTCTATCCAGCTTGGAGGGTGGGATTCTGTTTTATCCAAACCTATGCCCCACCTGCTGTCAAGGGACTGAGAGAGAATAGGGGCCAGGCTTGACCAGGAGATCTGCCCATACTGGGAGAAAGGATGTGCTAGCAGGGATGCTGAGACCCCAGGGTCCACTGTCAGAATGGGAGCTTTGCTGCCATCGGGAAGGGGTTCTGCACATGGGCAGGTAGATCCCAGGGATTCCACTCCCCCAGGATCCACGAGCTTCCTGGGTGGGGCCCAGGCACATCCCCTGTTCCATGTCCGTGCGAGAGCTCAGAGCCAAGGGGGTCAGCCAAATACTGGAGGGAAAACCACCAAATGCGGGAATCTCCGAAGCCCAGCTGTGTCCAGGACTGAAGCTCAGAAATGGAGCTACGTTATCAGTTCTAAATAAGAACATTTTAAGCCCCTGATAGCCTGCATCTCTAAGGAATGTAAATATCATCCTTAGGTTTAACCTGCCTCAGAAGGAGTTGGTTTTCCCAGGTCTGTGCCCTTCTCTGCCTCTGTTGAGAAGAACAGACTTATTTCCTGTGTCCATCCAGGTCCCACACCCTGTCTCAGAGAAAAGTGCCCCCCACAGGGCAGGGCCAAGGCAGCTACCACTGGCCACACATGACTGGACCAAGGTGGACCCCACCAAGCTGAGCTGAGCAGGTGCACTCTCCCAGGGCCTGGCATGGACCCCAAAGCACAGTGGGGAGAGTGCAGGGAGCAGGGGACAGAGTGCAGGGAGACAGACTGGGAAACTGGAGAAGCAGAAAGCCCCTCGGGTTTTGTTCCCACTAGAGTCCCAGATTAAAGTCTCAGGCATCCTGCGCTCCATGGCATAGCTCACATCCTTCCCGCAAAGTCCCTTTTCAACCTAAATGGGCTTCAGTGCTTCCAATTACTTAAAAATAAAAAAGCCTTCTCTGAAACATTCTCTTTTCCACTGCCCTGACCCCTACACCCCCTTCCAGCACCACAGGTCCCCATCCAGGCCCTCAGGTCTCAAGACCCTGCTGGAAAGAGGCCAGGCTCTCCCTGGCCCCGAAAGAGCCTGCAGAGGGATGGCGATGGCCACACCCACCTCCTGAGCACTGATGTGGGCAGTGGGGAGGCCTGACTCTGGAGGGGGGCATGTCCTCAGGCTCAGAGAGCCAATCCACCCTGCATCCTCCATAACAATGTGAGTTTTCCCTGAGAAAGATCTCTAAGCCCTGCATACAAGTGAGGGCTGATGGAACATGAGTTAGCGTCTATATGGTATTTCCTCCACGCCAGGCACCATTTAGGGACTGACTCATGGAATCTTCAAAGAACACCACCAGGCGGTGCCATTATTGTCCCCAACTTACAGCAGAGAGGTGAGTGGGAGGGTGAGCTGAGTGACACTCCCAGAGTTACAGAACCTGCGCACATAGGAGAGCTCTCATTGCTTTAGTCAGGTCTGAATTTGTAAATTTCATTTTTCCTGGTGAAATCAGAAGACTAAGAAGAGAAATCGGTTCTATGAACTGGACTAGTAGGGTCCTTCTTGGTCCCCTTTTGCAGTGAAAGTCATTTGAGGGACCCAGGAATAATGGGCCCCACCCACATTGGGGATCTCCGTGGGGCCTACCCTTGGGACTGGTCAAGTGTGCAGGCCCAGAAGCAGAAGACTCACCTCTGCTCCCATGAGGCTGAACCCATCAGGAGAGGGAGATGGGGTGGCACATCATCCCTCCCCAGGGTCCACCCAGAACAAAGCTCACTGGCAGACAGCAAAGGCAAAGCAGAGTTACCCCTATTGCCTCCACCTGTCAAACCTGCCTGGGCAAACTGGCCGTCCTCACACCTCTACTGCCCTCTCAGGCCTTGAAGACAGCCCAGCTAGTCATTTATTTAGCACTCCCTGCATGACGGGCAATGAGGCTGAGCTCTCCCTCTTATCATCAGAACAGCCATGTAACATTGGAGAAGTTGCCTTACTGTGTCTCAGTTTCCTTATCTGTGAAACAAGGATAGAATTACTTACCTTGTGAGCTGATCATTGAGCTTAATGAGCTATCCTCTGCTAAGTTCCCAAGCAGTGAGATGGAGTAATCTTAATAAATGGGGATTATTCATTTAAGGGAGATATTTTCATCCAATTGAGAGGCCAGGCACAGGGTATTCCTAAATAGAAAGCCAGCTGAGAGATGGGGAAGGGAATGACTGAACCCCCAATGTCCTATTCCAGGGTCACCCACCCCTGACACCCTGATCCCCCCCCCAGCCCCTGCAGCTGCTCCCCATTCCAGCAGGAAGTCATCCCCTATGAGCTGGGTTGCTTCCCCAACCTGACTTCAGACACCTCTCCCATAAGCTGGAATATGTTAAAAAAAAATAACCTCTTCAGAGGGCTTCAACCAATAGCTGAATAGCAATAATCAATCAACCCCTGGAGCCTGCACCTCCTTTCCAGACCAAAGCCCGGCAGCCTTTTTATAGTCACGGTATCAACTTCTGCAGACAGGGCTCCATCGATGGCCGTTCTCACTGCCCAAAAGGGGACTTCACCAAGGACAACCCTGAAGGGGATCCAGCGAGGTCATGTCCATCCATCTGTCCATCTGTCCCAGGGCAGAAGGGCTGGCTCCTGCAGGCTCAGCATCTGGGGGAGGTTCTGGCCTGCCCGGAGGCCTTGTCTTGTTCCAGCATCTACTAAAAGGTTCCTGAGCCAAGGCCTCAAAGCCCTCCACTTGGAAGCTTCAGAAAGATTTCCATTTGCACCCTGGCCAAGGCAGAGGAGCAAACTCCACCCAGGCCTGCAGCCTGAGGGCCAGGAGGAACAAAGAAGACCTGAGCTCTTTCGGTCTTTCTTTTTAATGCTTCTAAATTTATTCGGGTATTTAAACAAACAGAAACTACATCATGCATGGTTACTTTTTGCCTTTGTACAACAAAACTAAGTACTCAATATCTCTGCAGAGGTTTGGTGCTTATTTTTTTTTTCCTTTCTTTCAGTAACATCAGGCAGACTTTTCGATGTTATCCAGTTTTGCACAGTCACTAGAGTGTCGCATCATGAATTATTAAATCAGTGCTTCGTGGTAATACATAATTTCTTATCAATTATTCATGCTAATGTGTGTGTAGTTTACTTAATTGTGTTATTGACGATCAAAAGTAATTTCCTGAAAGTCCTCAAGGACACAAAATTTAATCAGCGTAACTACTTTTCAGATGCAATGCTGTTAAGTATTCTTAATTTGCTCAACAGTTCACTTATTTATGTACCTTTCTGGAGGAAATACGAGTTTAATCAAACAATTAGATTGAAGAGTTAGTGTACATAAGGGCTTGAGCTTACATCGTTCAACCCAACATTCGTAATTACAGGGAAACGGAAGCGACTTTGCCGCTTTTTGGCAAATCGTTTCATCTTTGTACTCAACAAGCAAAATACAGCAGGAAGAAGGATTTGATTTTTTTTTTTTTTTTAAGGAGACAGTGTATTTTATCAAATGCATTGCGGTAATCAGAGACGAGGCACAATACACTTAGAAGTATCATTTGGGGGGCGTCTGGGAGGGAAGGCATAAAAGGGGACAGGGAGATCTGAAGGTAGAACTTTTGATTGTAATAACGGAAAGGAAAATAATCATAAAAGCAATAGTGGTTTGCATGAAAACACCATCAGTAAGCCATCAAAGACTGCAACTGTTCAGGTACCAGACACCCCTGCCAGGGAGAGACAGAGCTTATGGTATTGCACTTTCCCCTTCGATCTCTTCAAGTTTACTATCCACACGAGAGAAAACAGACACACTCGACTGGAACTGAAATCTCTATGAAATTTGGCCCTTTGGAATTAATTCTCTTCACGCCATAGGGAAGCCTCTTGCCCGAGCTCCACTTCCTCTTATATACCATTCTCATCTCGTTGATGAGATGAGAATCTACTACTTTTTTCCTTCAGTCAAAAAAATAGCAAAACAAAACACCACCAGAGAGGCCCCTCCATGTGCCAGGGGCCTGAGGAAGGTAGTTCATCCAACACAAACTTATTCCAGAGGCATTTCTGGGAGGTTTCTTCCGCCTCCGAGGGCTCTCGGCATTCCCAGGACACGAGTGTTGCTTCCAGTTCGTCAACTTCCCATAACCTAGAGGTCTAGTCTGCAGAGGCAGGGCCAGTGGGGACTCTGAGCTGTGCGACCCACACCTGCTCCAGACCTGCAGCGTTGAGACGGTGGCCCCTGTCTTGAAGCTGATGGCCTGTCTGATGGGCCCGGCTCCCTGGCCAGAAATGCCCAGTGAGGGCGGCCTGGGACAGAGCCACCATGTGCCCCCAGGACAGGCTGTGTCCTGTCAGCCCCTCACCACCCGCATCTCTCACGTTCTCACTTAACCAAGCCCACAACCAATGTCCTCCAAACAAGAGACAGGAGGACACTGCAGCTAGTCTTGGTCCAGGGGAGCAAGAGTTGGTTGGGATGACATGTTTCCTGGTTCTTAAACAGTGTAACGGGGACAGTCCCATTTCATCAATGAGATTTAGCCCTGGGCATCGCTCCAGGGTGGCCCATGCTGTAGTTCTTTGGGTTGAGAAGACCTTCAGAAGTGGCCCAAGAAAGGGACAGGAGGGGTAATGGGGTGAGCAACTCTACTCCCCCCCAAGACTTCTGGGCTTAGATGGAAACCCGAGGGGTCTCTCACTACAGAGTGGGCTCTAGGGCCACTGAGTACCGTGTGGAGCTGTCGCCAAAGAAGTCAGACACAGCCACACCAAGGGACTCCGAGGCACTCTCCAGGTGCCCAGGGAACTGGGGGGGTCTCATGCCCCTTCCTGAGTCCGCAGATGCCCTGGAGTAGCAGGCTTCTCCTTGCTCTTTGGAGAGTTTTCCACAGGGGCTGAGGCTGGGAGAAGCAGGGGGCAGGGAAGGGCACACGGGGCATGGGCACTCCAGACCCTCATACGCTCTTCTCACCCTCGCTCTGTTCCTTGGTGGGAGGGGTCTTGTCCTGGCTGCCTTCCGGGGGTGCCGGCTTGGCCGCAGGGCTGGGGCTGCTGCTGGTGGATGGCAGGAGGTTGGCCGACTGCAGCACGGCCTCTGAGTGCTCACGAGCCTTCATGCGCAGGGCGGCCACGCTGGCCGTGCGGTTACTCTGGCAGCCGTAGGTGGGGAGGAAGGAGAGCCCCATGGGATCTGGGACACAGCAAGAGCACAGGGGGCCCCCTGGAAGGAGGAAAAACAACAGGCTGCCATCACTGTCCACATTCTGTCTCTCAGAACCTGGGGTGAGAGCGAGGAACTGGGGCCCAACAGATTCTTTCTGTTTTCTCCCGGATACAAAAGGGGAGAGGTAAATAAGAGGCCAGGGCCCTAAAGATGCACAACTCAAGAAACCCATTTGGTTGCTCAAGGGGTTATCAGAGCATGAGGGAGACTCTGTCAGTCCTGGTTCCCTCACCTGGTTCCCTCCTGGTTCCCTAGGCCAGTCTCTTGGCCTCTCTGAGTCTTGGCTTCTCCTCCTATAAAATGGAACGGAACCGACCTCACAGGATCATTTTGAGAATCCAGTGAGGCAATCCCACACTCTTCAAACTATATGCCAAAGCACCCCAAGAACTCACAGGAGTACTACAGGGATAGTTTAATTTTCTTAAGTGAGAGAAACTCAACCACACCTGCAAATGCTGTACAAGCTGCAAGTGGAGGCAGCTCACAACTTCAACATAAGCTCACACTGCCCTCTTTTCAAGGATGTCACAGTTTTTCTCAGGTGCAAGTTATTCTTATTTCCTGTCTTTAGAAATTAAGTTATACTTTTTAAGCTGAATTTTGCTGCAGGTTCGAGTAGAAAATGTAGAGAACTTATCTGCATCAGTGGGGCAGAGAGTGGGGAGAGCGTTAGGAGGGGAGGTGGCTGTGATAATGTAGTCCCAGCGGACGGTGGCTTGGCCCCAGGTAGCTGGAAGGGAGATGGGGAGAGGTAACCAGATTCCAGGTTTTTGATGAAGGATAGCGTCTACGTAAGTAGCTCACAGACAGCTGAGGGTGATAGAAAGGAAGGATTCACCGAAGATGCTTAAGCTGTGCCTGAGCACCCGAGTAAAAACAGGTTTCATTTCCAAGATGGGAACAAATGGATAGAAAGGGTCGTGTGTGTGTGTGTGTGTGTGTGTGTGTGTGTGTGTGTGTACACACATGCACACCACATCCAAGGAATATGGAGGGTCCAGTGTAGACGGTGGATTCTGAGGTCCTGTTGACCATCAAGTTCTGAACAGTGCTCAGCAGTCCTGGCACTTCCCTGGTCCTCGGGGGACACCTATGGGCTCCGAAATCACTGCTCTCCTCCTCAGCTGCCACCCAGGCCTCCTTTCAGATACTCAAGCATCATCACAGCACAGCATGCCTCCCCTGGGCCCCAGCCTGCCCTTTCTAACACAGGCCTGGTGTTAACTGCAGCAAACACCCATGTGTGCCCGGCATGGTACTGAGCACACCACACCTCCATACATCTCTGCTCTGGAACAATTCTAGGAAGTCGGTCTAATACTATATCGTTTTGCAGATGAGAAGAAGGAGTTTAAATAATAAGTGGCAGAGCTGGACCTCACACCAGGCAGGGGACTGTCCTCAAACATTGTGTCCTTCTATCCAGAAAGAAGACATACTGCTCCAGAGCCAGGTTTTCCCATTCAAGGGTCAGACCCTTCTCCTCCCCTCAAGCACATTTGAGCATCTTTATCTTCCTTTCTGAGTACACTCAGAGGCAAAAGGACAACCCATTTGGTCACATCCTCACTCTCTAGGTGAGCACACCAAGGCTCCAGGACTAACTGCCCAAGTTTGCACAGCTGGCAGAGGTGGGCCCAGAACCTTCTGGCAGCCTTTCCACTCTCCCAGTGTAATAGGAGCTTAAAAGTCAGCTGTAACTTTCTGCCTCAGTTTGACTGAGGAGCCAATACAGCAGCAGATACCAAGATGAGCGTGTGGTAAGTCACGACTGCCACATATGCTAAGAATTCGGAGAGCCTGTCCCCAACCTTGCAGCCGGGGCTGGCCTCTAGCCTGGTGACAGCAGGAAATAAAAAGTTGCACTGTGTCAAATCCCAGTCCCAATTATTCTGTTTCTCCTAGAGGCTCTCTCACAGACACAGAAACACTCCCAGAGGAGCAGCGGTGCTTGCCCAGGCAAGGCAGGGCATGCCCCACCCCACAGGGAGGTTTTCCTCCCCTCCAAGCCTCCCTCCCAAAGAGGAGCTCAGGTGGGAAGAGACCAAAATAGGAAGAACAGCTATCCTGATAGCAGGAATACCGAAGATTCAGTTTAGAGTTTTTCTTGCTTTTCTGCAATGAAGGTATATTTCTTTTACACTCAGAAATATAACCTTAATTTTAAATGAATGTTCAGGGCCTCCCCAGTGGTGCAGCGGTTGAGCGCTGGGTTGTAAAGCTGCCCGCAGCCTCTACAGCGCCGGTTCGATCCCCAGCCGCCGGGCGAGGGTCCCACATGGCACGCAGACCTCTCCTGCTGCCCTCTGCTCCCCTCAGCAGTGTACTTCAGTCCTTCTGCCTGCTCTGCTCCCCGCTCTGGCCCTGGTGAATTCTCTCACCCTCCCGCGCTTCTGACTGTACCCAGTGCTTGTATAAATAAAATAAATTAAATAAACAAACAAACAAACAAATAAATGTTCAAAAGAGGAAAGATACCTCAGGCACATGTACCCCTGGCACATTTAAGGAGGGGCTTCAAGGAACTAGGGAACACAGAGCCATACAGGTACTGAAGGTCAGAGAGGAGCTTGACGGGAGACATGGACTTTTGGGGGCCTGAGACAGGGCATGGAAAAGGGTGGGTTCAACAGGTCTTAGGCTGACTCCTACCTTCTTGCTCCAGCAAAAGCATCTGAGGGGGAGATAAATGGTCTGTGCCTTGGTGATGAAGATGGACACCTGCAGCAAGTGCCACTTGGGCAAGAGAGAGCCTCCTTCTCTGGATCCACAGCCTACACCTGCTAGGTCACACCTGCCACAGCACAGCCCCAAGGAAGCCACTGACAATACATTCAAAACCCAGATTCAGAGGGTATGAGAAATAAGTCACAAGAGTGAAATTGCAGAGTAAAATTGCAACTAGACAGATGGGGAACAGAGCACCAGAGGAGCCACAGACACAGGGATACTGTGGTCAAAAAACATAAGGGCTATAAGTACGATGGAGTATTTTTCAATCTTAGAAGGGAAGAAAATTTTGATGCACACTCCACACGGATGCACCTCAAGGCCATTGTGCTAAGTGACCTAAGCCAATCACTACAGATGACCTACCAACATGGAGTCAAAGTCATAGAGACAGAATGTAGAATGGTAACTGCCAGCAGCTGAAGATGGGGTAGTTGGGGCAGGGGGTGCTGGGGAATTATTATTTAACGAATAAAAGTTTTCCTTGGGGAAGTTGAAAAAATTCTGGAGATAGGTTCTGGTGACAGTCACACAACAAGAAGCATGGATTTTTTAACACTTCTGAACTGTACACTTAGAAAGGGCTCTCATAGCCAACTTTATCTTCTATGTATTTTGTCACAACTGAAAATAAAATAATTATTTAAAGAAATAACTACAAGAGCCAAAGGCGAGTTCAGGCCAAAACCATCAGTCTTTCTGACTCCTCCAGCAGGTGAGGACTCTGAGGTGCCACAGGCCAGACACACAGCGCCTCACACCCATGGCCTGACACCCTCAACCCGCCCCACCCATGGCATCTGTGGCTAAGGAAGCATCGCGTGGTTAACATGTGTTAAAGTTTGAAGGAGAACTCAGTTTTGTAATTCACATCCCATCCTAAAATCACTCCTTTTTTGTTGAAAGGGAGATTTAACGCTTCTCTGTAAATTCTGTCAAGGGGGACCACAAGGTATTATGGCCATAAACTCATCACCCCCACAGAGAGCACATAGATACACATAGTGAGCTGATGGTAAAGAAAAGAAAAACCCTCTTTCTCTCCTTCCACGCATTGCTTTTACTCCATCTTTCTACCCGGAGAAAGCTAGTCTTCTGTAGGACCACCTGCAGGTGGTCCTTAACTCATGTCCTTAACTCATTTGGCACTTAACTCATATCCATTATGTTTTAGGGTTGATTCCAACTAAATGCTCCCTATTCTTTCACTGCCTTCCTTCCATCTTTCCTTCGTTCTCTATCTGATGGTCTATGTTGCAGACAGGTCTTTAACCTTCCTTTTTCTGCAAGTTCTGCATCTGTTAAGTTAATGCAGCACCATATGGCCTCAGAGTGAGCTTACTTCAAGTTATGTTGACCACGTGCTCTACTGCTGAGCGTGGTCCTCTCTGTACAGTTGTCTAAGGACCAACATCTCCCTTAACGCCTGTAACTGTTTTTTAACAAATAAAAATGAGGGGACTCCCTGTTGGCGCAAGGGGTTAAGCGCAGCTCTATGAAGTTATCCGCAGCCTCTGCAGCATGAGTTCAATCCCCAGCCAGCCAGGGAGCTATCCACATGGTGCAGCAGCAGACCTCTCCTGCCTCGCCTGCTGCTCCCCTCAGCAGTGTGTTTCAGTCAGTCTGCCTATTCAGTTTCCTACTCTGTCTCTGGTGAATCCTCTCAACCCCCCCACCCCGCACCTCTGGCCTGTACTCCAGTTCTTATATGCATAAATAAATAAATCTTTTTAAAAGATAAAAATTAAAATGAAATTTTCACAAGTGGGATCCTAGAAAAATTAACTCTTGATTTCTCCATGTTTTGGAAGTACTAATAGCATCATCAGATTTCTCCATATGCCTCCTGCCCAAACAACTTCATCAACCAGGCGCTACTAAAATCCAGAAGTAATAAAATAGGACCTCATTCCCTATGGTGTTCAGGGCAGCAAATAGACAAATGACGACCAAGTTAAAACCTAGACCTCAAAGAACAAGCTTTGCCCATGAAGAGCTCATTCAAGGCTCTCACCATGTGCTTACAGATTCTTACAAGTGCACTGCTAGCATAAGTTGTTTGATGTATAAGAATGCCACAAGCCAGAAAGGAACATGGGTCAGGTAACAGGGAACTGGCTGAATAAGTTACAGAACACATGGAATGCACTGAAGCAATGACATTATAGAAGGCTATTTAGTCATGGAAAAAAAGAAAATATTAAGTTTAAAAAGCATTTGGATAAACAGTAAGTCAAAATGGCTCATTTTGGGATGTGTATATA